CCCACCCCCCGCCCCTACCTCATGTTCCCCCCCCCCTCCTCACCCACTTACCTTCCTTACCTACGTAACCCACCCTCCCTCTTCCCCTACTTTGTTTTCTTCCCCTTACCACCAAACTTGGTCCCACACCTCTATGTAGAATGAACTTGTACCAAAGTTTCTAGTATTTTTCCCCACGCTCACGATTTCCCCACTCGAACTAAATTGAGAGGTGCACACAACCGATAATCGACTATGGCCAGTCCTCTTTATTTAGTTCGTGTGGAGTCCGTATACTGAGGGAAAACAACTCTATAATGACATTGTATAAGTTTGAGGTTAAAGTTTGGCTTGCCCCAGTAACTTCAGAAGTTTGCAGGACACCTTCACGTGATGTAACCTGTTCAAATTGCGTACCTCGAAATTGACAATCGTTAATTAATTTTTTCCTAGGTGGTACCGAGACATTCATTTATTGGGGGGGGGGGGGGGTTTATTTAATGAGACCAAAGACGTAAAGGCAAAAAAATGAACCTAAATAACCTTAAAAGATTGGTCAGGGACGTCCTATGCCGATTTTCGGTACTGCGCTGATCCGACATTAACACCCCAATTTTAATAATCGACGTCGACACCTCTGGTACGACTCGTATAACTAATTTGGGTAGTCGTGGTCAACAGATTATGTTTGACCCTATATTGGCCTTATAATAAGTCTATAAACCGCCGTCTTTAACTCTTACATAAATTAACTGAGAGCTATAAAAGAAATTATCTACGAATCCAAAAATAGTAAACCTTAAATCAACAAAAAACGTAAATAATGCCTATACCACACTTCCCCCTTTACCAACTTACTGCAACGGACTTCGAAAGGCGTCAGCCTTTACTTAGACGCACGAACCGTCGGCCTGAGGCCCGACGTATACCCGTGCACAGAGATTGGAAGCTCGATAGACTGGGGATTTTACAACATGAAATAATAAAAAAAAAGAAATATGTGGGTTGTAGAATAGCGTTACAAGACAAACAGGCCCTCTTCCTAAGAGAACCAACGAAGGGGACTCAAAGAAGTGTGCCAGACTAAAAAGGGTAATTAGAAAATACCCCTCCTCTCCTCCCACCCTAATAAAAAACAAAGATACCCTCCAAAAGGACAGGTAACTAATTTTCACAACAAAACTTCGTAAATTTGGTACAGTTGAGAGTGATAGGTTTAGTTTGATTAACCCGATGTTTTCCGTTTTACTTTAGTATGAGTCTCTCACTATATAACACGTAGAGTGTAATGGCATCTCAAACAAAAGGCTCCTGTCAACCCTTTTCACAGTAACAATTATAAGTCACGGTGAAGTAAAGGAGAAAGACTGGATGACCCCTTAGGTGTGGCCGGGATGCCGAGAACTTTGATCGGTTTTTCACGCGCCACCCGCCGGTGCTGACCCCTCCCGATGAGGAAGTGATTGAGAACCTGGACCAGGACGAGTTCCAGGGATTCTCCTTTATCAACCCCGAGTTCCCCGGAGCTGATGTTGCCTCACCTGCCGCCGAGCAGGCTTGACTTCAGCTCATGGACACATGCACACACACACAAATAGATACACAAGCATTTCCCCCAGTATCCAACCTGTATACCCTGGAAAACACACACACACACACACACGAATATTTATCCACTTAAAAATCCTGGAAATGATGTGTACTGCAACAGGAAGCAAGAAGCCATGACTTAAACATACATCAAATACACAAACATATGTAGACTTCACACTGCTGCAACCGGGACGATGTGTTGGCCTCTTCTGGAAATGGCCTAGATGCATTATCACTCTAGTGCAGTGTCTCAACTATCATTAAAACGGAGAAATGTAGATGCTTCAAAGTGGTCAAAATGTAATTTTTTGGCTAATTATGAGCCGTTGACTTTCTCAAAGCTTAGTTTTTGAGAAAAATTGATGTTTTACTCAACTTGTGGCTCACAGTGTGGACAAATGACAATCATTCACCAGGATCAGACTAAGGATTAGAAAATGAATGGTGCCCCTACAAATTTCCTAAAATTCGACATTTGACGTTGATAATTAAAAATGAGTCTTAAAAAGTGTTTCTGCTTTGTTAAAACTGCAGATAATTGAAACCTTATACAGATCATTCAGGATACTCACAGCACACACACCATTCACATGTAACATAGCTTCAGCATTTCATTTTATTACTTACTTTTCTTTTGTGGAAGATTGTGATTTAACTTTTCTTTTACTCATTCCAGTTCAATCAGAGTTGGGCCTGTACTTCTGATGTGCTTATTATTCAATGTGTAATAATAACAGCGTATGTACATTTATCTTTATCTTAGCTAAAACTGGAATGCTTCACATACTTGTGCATGAGTTTCTATATCAATAACAGCCCCGGACTTTGTCTCCCAGCAGCATTTTAACATCTTATCTCTGCACCACTCTGCTGCCATGCGTGGCTGTTTTTCATGGTTTTCAAAATGCATATTCAAGAAACATATTTGGTGTATGGTTTTAACCAAAGTGGAAGATTTGTGCCAAAAAAGACCACATATATCGGATGTTCTATGTGTCCTCTTTGTTGTTGCAGCACTGGGATCATGTTGGTAAAATGCTGTTGGGAAATGTAGTCCTATAGGCTTTTGAGTCCGTCGAATAGATAGATAATACTACTTTGTATACTCTCCTTTTCTGTTAACTAGTATATAAGCAACGAAAGAGACTAGCATTATTTGTGTTTGTTCAAAAGCATGATTCAGATACCCGGGCGTTTGTTTACAGCAGTGTGTGCACATGAATGTTTCATAATGTGTGTGAATGAGAACTGTGTATGGAAACGCACGGTAAAGCATTTTTGTACGTGTGTCAATGCATGCCTTGCCTGGCCTTGCGTTAACATTTGTATTTATGGTGAATATCCACTTGACTTCCAACCAGTGGCTCCACAAGTGGCCGAAAAGAAAAAGCACTTTTTGAACATTAAAGCATGTAAACATGTCTCACTAGAGGCACACAATACAATTATGGACGTGAAAAGGAGAATGATATGTCCTCTTTAAAGCAAGCTGTGTACAAATTAGTATGCATGTGTTTGAACACAGTTACGTCCAGTACTGCAAATTACACCTTCATACTAGAGATGTTTTCGATGGCCTGGAAATCAAATTAAACCCAGATTCTGCTTTTTTCAAATGCAGGTTTAGTACCTGAAATCTCCAAACAGTAGGCCTGGAAAGGGTGTCTGGTCTGCGTCAAAAATAAGGCCACTAGCTAGATTTCAAACAGCGGACCAACAACCATGCAGCTTGACCTCTGATCCAGTTCTTTGGTGGAATAAGGCCTCACTGTGATTGGTGTTTTTCAAGTAGCCCTCTGCATGCACAATTTCCATCCTAACTACAGCTGCTGCAAACGAGAACACAGGTTAAAGCTAGGCCGTGTGTGTGTGTGTGTGTGTGTGTGTGTGTGTGTGTGTGTGTGTGTGTGTGTGTGTGTGTGTGTGTGTGTGTGTGTGTGTGTGTGTGTGTGTGTGTGTGTGTGTGTGTGTGTGTGTGTGTGTGTGTGTGTGTGTGTGTGGTCTCTTGTTTTCCCTAGCTAGCAATAATCATGTTGACAGGAAGGCAGAATCCGTAATGAACCAACCTTTAGTTTAGAACGCTCCGGTTAGGACTTTAATTTATTCACATGCAAAAGGCTGTGAGGTTATGAGGCTTATTGGCGGGTTTATTTACGCGGCCAGAGAGAAAGGCAGCTGAGACACTTCAGTGCTGCTAACATAGTGTGGAAGTGGCTGAAGTGCTTCCTCACATCACACTCCTCGGGACATCAGGTGAGTTTTTTCTGCAGGTTTGCTGTTGGTTATCATCAGCACTACTTGCATGACACTTTACAGTATCTACGATTACGCTGCAGTATCATGCACTTAATTCACTTGAAAAAAACAGTTATCTGTCATGCTAGCAGGAGTGGGAGTCTCTTAGGTTTCCACATGTAGACAATATCATGCAACATTGTTAATAAAAGACAATATGTGGGCCAGATGGTAAGGGTTAGCAGAAAGCTGAGGGAGCTACGGCCTGGTTCCAGATGGGAATGGCACTGCTTTTTGATGGCATTCAGACCTTTTTCTGTGGAATTATTGAACGTGATTGGGTTAATTGGTGCTGGGGAGTCACTGATTTAGGTACTAACATCTGGATAAAGTTGGTCGTGTCTGTTATCTAAGTCTTAAACTTTAACTGCTGATGAGTTCAGCACAGAAGAGCAGCCTTAGCATTTTCAAAGAGTCTGGAAGTGAATGTGTTTTTATGACTTCCATTATCTGCGTTTTTACCTTCATTGGTATGTATTACAGTCAGTGTCTCCTGTATTATGATAACAACAAATACCTATATATATATATATACTTATACATAAGCATATACAACTGTGTCAAATGTTGATATCTACACCATGTGGTCAGTATTGTAAAAGACGAGAGGAGAAGTTTTCTCTTTTTGCATCTACGACTCTTTACTGGGAAGTCAAATGGACTGCATGAAAATTGCTTTTGTTTATTAGTTAGGATTTATATACATTTAGCATATTAGGGTGATTCATGTTTTCTGTGTGCGCATTGCTTCAAGGTGGGATCAAAGCTACTGTAGCGTGTGCTATATGGGATAATAATACACCTCAAGAAAAGAAAAAAAAATGTTTCTCAAAATGCTTTCCATGTGCCAAAATGATTTTGTCTGTTTGTTTGTTAACCAACATAGACAGGCATACACAAAATAAAGGATTTAAAATATGTCTTAGAGGATGTTTGCTGTTGTTTTTGTGTTTTAGATGATGTGCATTGGCTGTGGCGAATGAAGGAAAGGAGGTAAAGAGAAATTAGAAGAGGAGAGGAAGGTGAAACAGAAGGAGAGTAATTTAACAATGACGGGAGAGAAGAAGGGGCAGTGGAGAGGAGGGGGGGGGGGGAACGAGGAAGCCAAGCGGGGCAGGCCACTACGACATGGCTGTGCATATTTCATGACTGCCACTTATCATAAGAGCCCTGCCTTGATGGGGTAGCGTAGGTCTGATGACTTCAAGGAAATAACATGCAGAACACGGCCTACATACACACAGCCCTGCTGAGCTGTAGTCGCTGCTACTGTATAACTAGCTGCACATGTACCTTTAAGAGGGGTTGCTGGATATTGCACCATTTACTATCCGCGGTGTAATGTTTGCAAGTATTTACGGAAACTAACGATTGAAAACGGCGTCTACAACACACCAATCTTCCACAGGGAATGCTTCGGTCCGTGATCAAAGGACTGGGGAAAGCTATGAGGTTCACTTTGATGGGAAATAAAAAAATATGCCAGCGAGATTTAACTTTAATGAAAGTCGGCAAACGTGTTGAGATGACCTTTAAGTTCTTTACACTGGAGGATTGTAGAGGCATTTGTGACATCTGGTTTAGACGAACTGTTTTAGCTTTTGTCAGAAGAAATAATAGGATACTTGGCTTTGATTGCCTACAACACACGTTTTGTAACGCTCTGTTATTTATGATTTCTTATTCTCCCATAAACCGCCAAAGCAGGCATCTGCCTTTTACCCAAGTGTTAACACGTTATTTTGAAATATAGTACAAGTGCCAAAATATGGGGGTAAACTTTTATAAAGTCGACAGTTTGAATTCAATTAAGGCTTAAAGTGATGCCTTCAGTAAGGTGTTACCGCTTTTAAGTTCCGCTTTATTTAAGCGTTCTGTTTGAGTAAAAGACCCTCTATGGAGTCGGCTCTTCAGTTAAACCAACGACGGCATACCGATTAATGTCGTGGTTAACATGAATTACAAATGCAACATGCTAAGCAAGCAAAAGAGTTAGCTGGTAAGCTAGCATATGTTACGCTAATGGTGCCTGACCTATTTTTCATCAGTTCAACTCTCTCGTCAAAAGATGATCCCAGCTGGCTCCAAAAAAACGACGAATTTAAGCTTCAAAATGATTGTCAAACAAATTGCTGATGTCTAAGGGACAGTATCCACTTCCTATACAGTAGGCCTATATGTTTTTTTGAACACAGGCAGGAAACTGAATATGCTCTACATGTTGGGTCATGGTTCAGCCTTGTGTTGTATTGTGATGTTGTTTTCTAATCAAGACATTTGGGGAAAATCTGCGTATTCACATTCTTGTTGAGGAGTAGTTTGTGTCTCATTGTCAATTTATTGAGCAAATAACTGTCCCTGTTAAGGTTGATGAACTTATAGAAAGCGTTAGCTAATTAACTAGCGGATTAACAGCCAACCTAACTAAACATTAAGAATCAATATACAGTTCTGTCAGATGTATAAATAATTAATTCTCTCCAAATTGCTTAGGACTTTCTTTATACCTCGCACTCCAATGTGGAAGATTTATATTTAGTGCAATACATTTCTCTAGTTATAGTTTTCAACGTGTAGCTTATGCATTGTGCTTGCTGTTCCTGATATTTGTGTTGAAAAAGCGCAGCTTCCTATTTTCCGTACCCCGCATTCCTCTTTGTTAACCGTATGCTAACATTGTGGTTGTGGCTGTATTTTATGTAACTTCATCAAAACAGCAATACAAACTCCTGTGTAACAGTGAGTTCCAGCACACAGGCTGTATACAGTTTGTATTGGAGTGGATGTAATAGCCATGTACACAGTAAGCCGCGGCTGTGCTGGAGTGTGTGTGATAATTAATTCCAAATGTTGCGGCCCCCAAATTAAAGCCAGTGGCTTCAGCACAAAGCAGCCTGCGCTTATCAGCCCAAAACAGGTCAGCGTTCGATACCGCCTTTCATTCACCCTCCTCTCCTCTTCACCTCCCCGCATCCTCTGTGCCTCCCACTCTCCCCTCATCCTCAGCTGACATAGGCTCGTCTCCCGCTAATCCTCTCGTTACTGAAAAGAGATGGGGTTGAGAAAATGTGAGGGAGGTGGAAGGGAGTGAGGCAGAAAGAGAGGAAGGGAGGCAAAGACTAAATTAAAGACTCCTCTATTAAAACCACAGCCTCTGGAACCGAGTGACTTGAAGAACAATCGTGTGTGTTTGCCCTGATGCTGCTGTGTACTCCAAGCTTTCTATCTATACATCTACACCGAGGGCCACTGATATTTATCTCACTCGCTGCCCTTCGCTGCATCTCTTCCTCTCTTTTTTTCTCTCTCTCCATATCTCTGTCTCTCTGCCTCACAGCATTAGCTGCAATTGAAGCGTGTTGAGATGGAACACATTATGAGCTGGCCTACATGGCTGGCAGCTGTGTGCATGTGTGTGTGTGTGTGTGTGTTAGTTTACATGTGTGTATTTGGTTAAAAAAAACTGCATGCAAGGTCTTCAACCATGTGCACTAGATTACGAAGGTTTTGAAAGCATAGCATGCATTCAAATCTGTGTGCTTGTTTATATTTCCAGTCGGATAGATTCCCTTAACTGCAAGTCATACGTTGAGTTACCCTTGGTTTGTCAGTATATCAATCGGTAATAGCGAGTACTGACATGGATTGGAAAGATGTCCTATAATATTCCCTCCGGATATAACAAATTAAAACATGTTTTGGATATCATCCATTAGTATTATAGTGGTTATGATTTTAACTGAAACCTAGTAATTCATTTCAGGTTCTATTTATTCCTATAAATTCCCCTAAATCCTCAAAACATAATCTTATGATAGCTCCATGAGTTGGTTGAATATGCCGTCTCTGATTTATGTTTCAACGTTTCCCACTGCCTTGTTTTAAATATGCATGTTGTAACAATGAACGTAATGGATGCATGCATGCTAGTGTGCTAACAGAGGCTAAAGGTGCATGTTTCAAAAAATATTGTTATTGCGTTTAATCTTGACAGGGAAAAAAACACAATTACTAAACATAATATTGGAAATGAAATCCAACCATGCACATATGAGTGTTGAACGACGCCTCTCTTGAGACGTTCAGAGTGGATATCATGCCCGAGAAGGTGAGGTGGATCTGGGGGTCCCTGGATGGAGGGAGCTCCCCTCAGGCGGTGGAGAGTTGGCAGATGAAGGTAGGAGATGCAACGCCGGTTTGAAGTTCCTGTGATCTTGAACGCTCTCCTGTCCCTCTCTGTCTCTCTGGTTGTTGTTTCTTCTGCCTTGTCAAATAGCAGAACGCTTGTATCTTGATTTTCTACCTTCAGAAGAACCAACATTATTACTTTGATGGATTCTTAGTCCTTTCTCTTTCTCTCCCTCCTCTTCCTCATACTGGGGCTTCAGCTGTTTGTGTTTGTCAAACGCTCGTGGTGTTAGAGGTTCAGACTCTGTGGATGTATTTATGGCTGTGGATTTTCTGGGTTCGCCCCCTGTGTGGTTTTCTCTGTGACCGCTGCTCAGTGATGTGAATATTTATGTGGCCAGCTTTTATTTGATCATTCTCCCTCTCTGCTGCTCTCTTCATCCCTCTGTACCTCACGACTGTGCCCCTCTATCTGGGATTATATGTGGTTTCAATGATATTTGCTTACAAATGTGGCTGTTGAGTTTGTTTTTAACAGTTCCTGGCCCAAATATGGTCATTCCTGATTCCAAACTAAAAACTTAAGGGCTTCAAAACGTCTTCAAAAGTCTACAAATGTACCACTTTTATTTTAAATGGCTTATTTTGCTCACAGTCATTTGCCCTATATGATCCACACATACTCTACTGTTATAACAGTAGAAAATGGCCACATTTGGGATAATGTGCATTTACCTTGACTTTTAATCATGATTAGGAGGGTTACTTTACTAGTTACCTGTAAAAACAAATGTAATAAGTACTTAGTCATTTCACAACAAATACAAGATGCTCTTCTTTAGTTTTGTGGTAACATTATAATGTAAGTTAAGGGAATACTTGTTTTTTGGTATCGAGATTACTTAATCCCGTTACTCCCAAAGCCTGCTTTTAATACACCAAAACTAAATGGATTGATACTTGTCACTAATCTGTACATGCCTTGGACATGAAGTATGTGGATGTCCACGACCAATCTTGGTGTAGGAGTTTTAACGATCCTGTGACACACACACACACACACACACACACACACACACACACACACACACTGTACTTCTCCTCACTCTTTGGAGAACATCCTACAGGCCATACAGTGATATGTGAATGCCATCGATGCAGAGCCTCACAGCTCCATCAGCGCACATGTGAAGCTTCAATAAGAACGAACTGTCCAACACAGTATGTCAGTGTGAGTGAATCAAATGGCAGCCGTTCGCTTTTACCGCATCTAACTCTCCCCTCCCCCACTCACTGACATACACTCCTCCATCTTTAACACCCAGCTCGCTCTTTTCTTTCCTCTGTCCATCCGCCCACTGAGCCAAGCATTAACAATGCCCTTCCCCAGAGTAACCCTCGATCCACATGCATACACAAACACACACATGCACACACAGTTTTCCCCTCACCTCCCACATGAAGCCTGTACTAGTCCCTCTCTTTTTCCCGTCTTCATTCATGTCCCTTGGCATCTTTCTCTCATCCTATATCTTAGTATTGGCTCTCTTTCCTCATTCTTCCACTTTATCCTTGAATTTAATTAACACGCGTTATTATATTTCTAACTTTGAGATCTTCTCAGTATTGGTTGCATGACGCAACTCTGTATGTTCCTACTTCTCTTACCCTCTATTCAAGGTGCATGATTTCGGACCATCTCCTTTTCTGTTTCATCATATCTATATTTATTTTCCAATTGTATGTCATCATTCATACAGGTGCTATTTTGGGCCTCTTAAAGGGGCCCT